CCCCCCAAACTCCGGGATTTTTTTGGGAATTCCTTCCCCCTGACCCTTTTGTCCCCCCCAGCTCTGACCCAACCCCTGGACCRGGCCCTTTCCCTGTGGAAGCAGCTCCTGGAAGGTTCTGGAACGCCGTCCGTGCGCTGCCCCGAGCAGAGCGGGAGCTCCCTGCGCCTGCTGGGCTCGCTCTACCTGCTGCACGCTCAGGTGAGAGGGAATTCGGGAATTTTGGGAATCCTGGAGTGCTCTGGGTGTCCCAAATTTCCCTCAGTGTCCCAAACCCTTCCTGGGGTTGATTTTCTGAGGATTTTGGGAATTTTTGGGACTCCTGGAATGTCCCAAATCCTCTCAAACCCTTCCTGAGGATGATTTTTTTGGGAATTTTTGGGAATTCTCCCCAGATTTTAGGAAACCCCAAAACACCTGCACCTCCCAAACCCCCCAGATTCCCAAAATTTTGGTTTTTTTGGGGCCCAATCCCATTTTTTGCCATTTCCAGCCCATCCAAGCCCTGGAGAGTTTCCTGCTGCTGCRCTCCCTGTGCCAGAAATTCCAGGATTTTTCGGGAATGTCCGGAGCCCTCAGCCAGGCCAGCGGGATCCTCCTGCAGCTCGAGTGTCCGGCACAAGCTCAGGTAAATCTGGGAATTTTGGGAATTTTTTTTTAATTTTAGAGATTTTTGTGATTTTTTGGGGAATTTCAGAGGATTTTTCGAGATTTTTTTGGACATTTTTTGGGGAATCTTTTTGAATTTTTTTAAAATTTTGAGGGGAATCTTTGGGAATTTTTTTGAATTTTTGGGGTCTGGAATGTCCGGGCCAAGCCTCAGTAAATTTGGGAATTTTAGGCAATTTTGTGGATTTTGAGGCTGATCCAAGTCCGATACTCCCAGATTTTCCTGGATCTGCTGGAATTTACCAATTCTAGGTAAATCTGGGATTTTTTTGGGGAATTTGGGGCTGATCTGGGTCCGACATTCCCAGATTTTGCTGGATCTGCTGGAATCGTGCCCCGAGGACCCCGAGGTCAGTGAGGATTCCCGGCTGCTCCTGCACCACTCGCGGCTCCTGCTCCGCAGCCACCTCTGCTCCCAGCAGGGAAAGGTGAGAAAAACGGGGATTTCAACCCAAAAAATAACAGGGATTGGGAAAAAATGGGAATTACCATCCCAGAAATAACAGGGATTGGGAAAAAATGGAGATTTGGGATTTGGGGGATTTGGGATGAACAGAACCCCTCTATTTCCCATACTTTCCCCATATTTTCCTCATATTTTCCCCTATTCTTCCCCATATTTCTCCCATATTTCTCCCATATTTCTCCCATATTTTCCCCATATTTTCCCCATCCTTTCCCCATCCTTTCCCCATCCTTTCCCCAT